GTGTTGCCCCCGGACCGGACCAGGGACCGGCAACGGGATTGCAACCCTCGGTGTTGCTCCCGCGCCTCGCTCAGCCAGTGAGCGGGAACCGGTCTGTATGTGGGATCCGAACCCTCGGACGGGAGCGCTGCCATGCTTCCCAAGCGGCGCACTATCCAGTGCGCCACTGGGCCGGCCCCTCAGCTATCACTTCTTCTAAAGCCTGGCCTGACCACCTTACCACAGACTGAGTCAGATCATTTTTGTTTTTTTTGTTTGTTTGTTTGTTTTTTTAAAAGATGACCGGTAAGGGGATCTCAACCCTTGGCTTGGTGTTGTCAGCACCACACTCAGCCAGTGAGCAAACCGGCCATCCCTATATAGGATCCGAACCCGGGGCCTTGGTGTTATCAGCACCGCACTCTACCGAGTGAGCCACAGGCCGGCCTCAGATCATTTTTGTATTGTTCTTTCAAAGCTTTTATCACAGTTTGAAACTATTTACTTTGTGTGGTTATTTATTCAATGTCAGTCTTCCCATTGTACTATAAGTTCCAAGTGGGAAGAGATGTGTCTGGGTTTTATCACCAATAAATATTAGTGAGTGAATGAATAAATTATAAGTAAACAATATTTGTTTTTCTGGGGTTTTTTGTTGTTGTTGTTTTCCGTTCTTTGTTGCGGTGGTGGTGGTATTTTTTTGGCAGCTGGCCAATGCAGGGACATGAACCCTTGACCTTGGTGTTATCAGCACCATGCTCTAGCCAAGTGAGCTAACCAGCCCCCCAAACCATATTTTCATCCACTGTTCAACAAATTTTTTCTGAGTGTCTATAACATATCAGCTACTGTACTTGACCCTGGAGATATAGCAGTGAACAAAACAGATAAGGACACTATGCTCATGTCACTTACGAGAGTACTTCAAAAAGTTCATGGAAGTATTTGTATTATCTTCCAATTCTATTTTCCCATGAACTATTTGAAGTATCCTCATATTTTCTAGAGACAGGAAGCAGGCAACTAAGACACGAAATGGTGCATGTTTTGTAGGCAATAAAACAGGGTAATGTGATGAGGTTGGGTCCACTACAGAGTGAGTTCAGGGAGAGCTTTCTGAGGAGGCAGAAGGAAAAGCAAGTGCAAAGGCCCTGTGTCCATTGCCCCCTTGAGACTTGTAGTCATTTTTTAATCTTTTGGTGGCTGGCCAGTACATGGATCAGACCCAGACCTTGGCAATATCAGCACACGCTAATCAACTAAACTAACCAGCCAGCTTTGTACCCATTAATTTATAGCAGGATTTCTCACCCTTGGCACTATTGACATTTGATGCAAGATAGTTCTTTGTTGTCTTGTGCATTACAGGATATTTAGCAGCATCCCTGATTTTTATCGATCAGATGCCAGTAGAACCCTCCCCTACACCTCAGTGTGACAATCAAAAATGTCTCTTGGCATTGCCAAATGTTCCAGGGAGGGAAGAGGCAAAATCAGTCCCAGCTAAGAACCACTGATTTAAAACATGACCAGTGAGCATCACTGTGGATTTTTTCTCTGATAGCCTTGAAGTAAACAGTTGGGTGCAATGACCCAAGTAGATGGATGGTTGAAATTAAGCAGGGTTGGGGTTTTGCTAAAAAGAGAGAAAAGCAGTTTTGGAGTATTTGCACAAGAGTGATTATGCGTTATATCATGCATATAAATTGTGTAAGAAGGGGAGTAAACACAAAAGGGGATTGGTGGATAGTTAAAAACTGGTAGGGCCAGTGGTTTAGAGGTCCTCATGAGGTGAAAGGAGTGGGGATCCATAAGTAAATGAACTGGAAGTCTAGCAAGTGATCATGAGAGGCGGGCGGCGTGAATTCAATAAATTGGAAGAGGTTGTTTTTGGAGATAAAGCCTAGAGTAGGGGCCTGAGGGTGGGTTGAAGAGAAAGATCACTGAAAATGAGACTGAGGAGCTGAGAGGCTTCAAGTAGATGGATTACCCTGGTGGATTTTGAAGTCAAAACCAACGGTGATAGGAAAACAGGTGTAAAGAGGAATATGATGAGCCAGGTGCTACAGTTATCAGTGAATGTGGGTGAATGACCAGGCCTGAAGACCGTAGCGGATATACTTCAAAACATGAACTTCAAAGGTGCAGGGATTTTGAAGGATGAAGGAAGAATAATGGTCTAGATGTAGCATTGAGGAGCAGTACTCCCAACTCCAGACTCCAAGCTGTGTGAAGATTAACAAACAAGCCTCTATAATATAAACTAATTGGTCACTGAATATCATACTGGCCAGACCAGGAATAATCATACTGGCCAGACTCAAAGCAGATAGAATATTTCAGGTTCTAATTACACCTCATTTACGATTTCATTCTTGGGCTTCAATTGTCTCATCTGCAAAAAAGGAATGATAATATTTTTGCCTGCTTAGGAAACTAGAGGCTTAGCCCTGTGGTTCATTCTGGAGTGAATATTTGAGGTATAGATTTGGAATGAAGGAGTGA